TTCTCTCTGTCTCTCTGTCTCTCTGTCTCTCTGTCTCTCTGTCTCTCTGTCTCTCTCTCTCTCTCTCTCTCTCTCTCTCTCTCTCTCTGTATACACTCTGGGGATCCATTTATTTGTCTCTGAAACTCCCTTCCATGTCCTCCCACTCCCACCCCAATGCTGGGGATATAGATGTGCACTATGCACACACTTAGCTTTTTTACATTGGTTCTGGGAACAAACTCATGCTTACATGTGGCTGAGAATTTTCCTGAAATTATATAAATTGCCAATCCACAGCTTGAAGTAATCAGCTAATCCCTAAGCAAAACAGCAAATGAAGCTGCAACTGAGTGGCCAGGACACCACTCAAAGCACCATTTCCTTTTCTGCATAGTAATAAAAGTACCACATACAGAACTTCTCAACTAATCCATGTTTTCTAAGTCTTATGCTGGGAATGATTCTGGCTAATTTTCTTGCCGACATAATGTTTAATAAATACACAAGCTACCTTCATTTTCTTTCAGATAAAAATGTGCTTGTGACTTGCTTTTCATCATGAGATGCCAGAAGCTGAGTTCCTGTATAACAATGCTGACCACAACCGCCTATCAGTGCAGAAGAGAAAGCCTAGAGTTTTACCTGTACTTCAAATTATTCCAGCTTGAGTTTTGCATATCGTACATATGTCTTGTTCCCTGGAACATAAACAGTTAGGCATATTAGAACATAGGTTGAGAAAAGCAAAAGGGAAGAGCAGGCTACTGTGAAAGAACTCCTTTCACTGTAAGCAGAAGCAGACTAGCCTGTCTCTAATGGGATCCTGATCTATTCCTCAAAAACAAGAATGGAATAAGGAAGTGGTCATGCTGCAGTAGGCATGAGCGTAACTTTATTAAAAGAAAGTCTCATTAGTGTACTTCATTCAAATGCAATGTGATCATAGAAATTTAAGAACAAAGAAACTTTGCTTTAAATGTAATAAAGTTTAATGGCAAAAAATACAATTAAGCATTGGGGATAAATAGCATATAAGTTGAGGGCAACACATACTCTTTGTATTTCAGGAAAAAAAATTAAAAGTTTGATTAAATAAAACTTTGAAAGTCTGGAGAGACAGTTCAGCAGTTAAGAGCACCGGCTGCTCTTGCAGAGGGCACAAGTTCATTTCCTAGCACCCACAGGGCACCTAACAACCATCCCTTACTCCAGTTCCAGGGGAGCCAATGCCCTCTTTTTACCTCTGCAGGCACTGCACAACATGGGTGTACTTATATACATGCAGGTAATACACTCATACACATAAAATAAAAATAATAAATACAATATTTTTAGAACTTTGATAAGTTTGCAGATTGGGTGGACTACCAGAGTAACTGTCAAAAGAATGAGTAACAATGTATACTAAAGAGAGAGAAAAAGAAAATGATTAGGAAATATTTAATCTTAAGTAGATGAGAAAAATATAGGATAGGAAACAAAAACAAGACATAGACATGATTTCTAAATTATAATGTAAACAGGTTATATATTTCAACAAACATTGTCTAGAGTAAACAAAATGCATCTATGCGATACATACACACATCTAAAATAAGTGAATGGAGCACAGTCTGGAGAAGGATACAAGGTGCCTCACTACAAAATCTTTCAGACAAAGGTGCTATCAGATTTGGAATGTCTCTATCCAATTCTTTAAAACTCAGTTATTCAGAAAGGCTCAGTTTACTTTTTTCTAATTTCAATTTTTAAGAGGATTTATTATATAAGTTACATAGTACTATACAAAACTTAGAAAGTACTAATACAGGGCTGGAGAGATGGCTCAGCGGTTAAGAACACTGGTTGTTCTTGCAGAAGACCGGGGTTCAAATCCCAGTACCCACATGACAGCTAACAACTGTCCGTAACTGCAGTCACAATGGATCCAACAGCCTCTTCTGACCTCCACGGGCATTGCACAATATGGGTGCACTTACCTTCATGCAGGCAATACATGCATACACATAAAATAAAAATAATAAATAATTTTTTTTAATTTAAATAAAAAAAAAGTACTAATACTCCAACAGTTTTTTTCCTGCTATACAATCACCCTTAGGGCCAGATAATATGAGCATATTTAAGGTTTTTGAAATCTATTGCACCTTTATCATATATAAGTATATAGGCAATTGTATCATAAAAGCAATGTAATTTACATGTCGCTTTCTTGCTCACATTCTGCTATGAGCTTGATGTTTGTGCAACACCCAAATCCATGCATTGAAACTTAATCTCCAATGTGGTGGTATCAAAAGGTCAGGACTTTGGGTCAAAACTAGTTATTAAGATTAGCATCTTTATAAAAGGTCCCAGACAGCTGCCTTGTCTTTGGCCAGGTGAGGACAAAATTTCAATAAAACCCATGTTGTGTAATTAATACATGCTAATAAAATGAATGGAAGAAGGCAAAAGTAAAATTCTGAGGTAAAATAGCTAAATTGAACAGGAAATAGCTGTAGTCACAGTATTGTAAGATACTTATCCCAGTCTACAAAAAGGAGGGTCGACTCAGATGAAACATTTCCTCCATGCCTCCAAGTGAAGTCAGCCACAGTCGAGCAGGACTTTTGACTTATCTTTATGTAGATGGAACAGGTGAAAGAAAGGAGCCAGAGGCTTCTCCCAAGCCCATGTGACCCCTGAGGAACAGATCCTCAACAACTTTAATAGTAAAAATAAATTGGTTTGTTTGGGCCAACTGTATGGTCTTAAACATCCAAAAGGAAAGTATAACCAAAGAGTAAAGTGATCAGTATATTTCTTTAAGAGTTCAAGGGATTACACTTCCCAGACATTAGGCTTAAGTCCATATAAAATGTCATTTAGACAATTATTTCTCATTGATGATTTTGTTCTGAATCATAAAGTGCTGCTCAGATGTAAGACTTCAAATCTTGGTCTGCAGTACTGTAGTGCCCACCTGTATGTAGCTAAGGGAGACAACCCATTGTTGTTCTAAAATGGTGGCTAAATTTGTTTTCTCCCCTATCTAGAAGTCTTTAAGAGGGAACTGACACTGATTCTAGCTACTCCAACAGCTATCAAAGTGCCTGAAAACAAACCCTGAATCCATCACTCTAGAGTCCAGCCTTGGCAGACAAAAGAAAAATGAGGAGGAACCCAATAGAAGGATACTTTTGGAAGCTCTCATCAAGAAATTCCAGTGGACTCAATTCCAATGGACTCTGATATGAACATTTGAAATTTACCCAGTTCTGACTTTTTTTCTGGTTCCCTGTCTAGAACTTGTAGTGCTAAGTACTCTTGCCTTTACTTCTCCTTCACATCTCCTATTCACCAGTCAAGGACTTTCATTTCACCCTACAGATAAGAGTTATGCAATTTGGGAGTCTTTTAGATAGACCATTGAAGGAGTACCCCAATTGCCTCACCCTGCTTCCCTGTTTAGCATGGGAGAAGCCAGAGCCGTCTGCATCCTAATTCCCTATTGGCAATTTGGGTAACTTCTTCAGAGGAGGGTGTGATAAGAATAGGAGGAAGGAATTGGCTAGGCAGTGAGGGCAAAAAGACCCTAAAGAAAAATAGCCAGTTTCTTGTCTAAAAGTCAAAACGTCTTTGGGCCTTT